CTCACTCTTGATCCCCACCATAGGATCAGATCACACCATAGTTCATTACCATCACCAGAGGTAATGCTTGACTAATTTCTCACTAGAAATAGCTACTCGTTGTCGATCCATAAGTCTAGACTAGAGCACACCAAGACTAAAACAAAGTTTGTACACCATGATGTGTGACTCTTAACAACATGCATTTTCACCAAAAGTTTAACCAAAAGAATCACCAAGCACATCTCACCATTTATACACAACATCACTTGTCATGTGCAATAATTTATAAATGTTACAACACAACTAAACAACAACAAATAACAACAACACACCATCATATAAGTTTAATGATTCAATAATCGGTCTTACAAGTTATCACAAACATCCCTACAGTAGGTAAATTACTACAACTCAAACATTATATCAAGCACTACCATGAGGTAGCTCTGCGTGTTACCTTTCTAACGCTTCAAATGGCATCTCATTTGGACCTATGGAATGAAAGATACGTCCAAAATCGCCAGACAATGCAACAAAACAAAAGCATAAATTTGCACCTTTAGGCCTATGACAATCGATTGTCATAGGGTGACAATGGATTCTCATCAAAACATATTTTTCTACTGACTTCACAAAAATCACTTTTCTAGGCATGACAATCTATTGTAATGTTGTGACAATCGACTGCCACTGTGTTATTTTATTTAAAAAAATCAGTTTTTACACACGTTCATCTTCTTCCTTCCTAAATCACCATACATGAACCCAACCAATTTTTCTCAAAAATTAATCAACTCCAACACGAGTTAAACACTGAAATCATGTTACCCTAACCATTACATGTTACGACACTTACTTTCATCATGATTCATAGTAATTCATTAACAATTTTAATAGAAAATGCATCATCAATCATGAATAAACTCAAGTTTTCACATCCTCATCAATGGCATAGTCACATACATACACATTCATTATCATTCAAACATGGGTTCCATCATAACAGCACATATAAAAACAAGATCAACTAATCAATTTTCAGAATTTCATCATATAACAATCATCAAAAGAAAACCTAGAACCCTAATGAGATTAAGGACTGCACATCACTACCCCCATCATGCAATACACCTAATTGGTAGCACTTTCTTCACCCTTACTTTGGATTTTTCAGCAAGATGCAACTTCAAACTCTAAAAATGGAGTCTTCCTTTAGCCCTATTCCTTGCCTCTTCTCACCATCAAAAATTTGTTTTTACGTAAAACTCTACAAACTCTCTTATTTCAAATCTATCATTAGGATTTTCTACACAATTCTTTCCAATTACTTTATTAACCCTCAATTTTCTTAATTCAAACTATTGCTCCAACTCCCTAAGTCGTTGCTCCCTTCCATTTCTCCAAATTCTCCATATTGACCCAGTTTTATTGTTTTACTATTTTATTTAACTAATTCAAATGAAATACTATTTATTCTAATAATTAATAAAATTCTAATTAATTCTAAACAACTATACCAAACTCTTACTCTCTTTATACCTCTACTTTTTTCCCACTATAACGATGTTGTATTTTTTATCATTGATTTAATAATATATATATTCAATGAACAAGGTTAATTACCAACATCGTGCTAGTAACTTTTTGTTCATACTTATTTGAAACTATTTAAAAAATTCAATTATCATGTTCATCTTTCATCATCCATAAAAATCCAATTCATCTATCATATTAATTTTTTATCATATTCGAAAAATATTGACTCACCATCATCTTCATCTTCCATCATTCTTAAAAAATTCAGATTCATCCATCATCATCGTCATCATTTTTCATTATTTCTAAAAACTCATATTTATTACTCATCTTTATCTTCATCTTCAACCACTATTTTTATCTCAAGATGAGTACTCGATTATAAGTTATTAGTAGTGATTATAATTTATCACATCGATGAGTACTCGATTCTTATCCAAAATGTTTTAGACTTGAACAAAGCTAACAAAGCTTCTTTGAAATGTTTGTAAGAACTACTTGAACTTCTAGAGCCAATGGTGAAGAAACTAGTGTGTAATCCAAGAGTCAATGGTGTAAACACTGAAGTAGAAAGAGAGAGAGAGAGAGAGATTAAGGAATTCTCTTAACTTCTCTATGGTGGGCAAAAAGTGGCGGGTCCAAGCTAAATCCCACCTAGTTTGATTAGCTCCAATGAGGGAAGAAAAGTAATTCTCTTAACTATTGATGGGGAAGATTTTGAACAATTTTGAAAAAAATTAGTTTATGTAGTTATAAGTATAAATTGACATATTTTGATAATCAATGTTGCAAGAGAAAATTTTAACTTGTGTCTATGTAAGTTTAAAATTGATATCATTTGAAAATCAATGTTGCACAAATAAAAAGAAGATTTAAAGCGGGCTGACTCCTGTGTTTTAGAGTTTTATGGGGAGAAGCATTCGAGAAACTAATGGCTCGTTTGAATGAGTTTTAATTTTTAAATTTTAAATATAATTTATAAATCAATTTTAAAAAACATATTTTTAAAAATAAAATAAAAATAAAATATGTTTGGTTATTTTACTTTTAAAAATTGTTTTAAAGTTGCACAATATTACAAAGTTTTCAATAATGAAAAGTGTATCACTTTTCCTTTTTTCCCTCTTTTTAATTTGGCTTAAACGCATCTTTAAACCTTAAGTTTCTAATTGCTTGATTTCGCTCCCACATGTTTCAATTGCTTGATTTTGACCCCTCAAGTTTGCCTCTTTTCTATTTGATGGCCTTCTAGTGACATGTAAACTAAACTTCACTTATGTGGCATTAAAAAAATAGACCACTGCTTATGTGGCATAAAAAAATATTTAATTATACCAGAGGTCCTTTAGGATATTTAATTGTAACAGGTTGGTCCTTTAGGTTTCTTTTGCTACATGTGAGTTCTTTAAGTTGCATAACGTCAACAACGTTGGCCATTTTTATGAATCCGTTTCAAGAATGCACAACTGTCATTAATGGTGCTTATGTGGTTGTTACTTTGTTGAGATATAATTGTAGTAAATTAACATTTATTTAATAAGACAAAATCCTCTAATTTAAGTTTAAGCATTCCTAAAGTTAACCCTGATTTCACAATCTCTGCATATACGAGTTAATGCGAACGAAGATGATGCATTAAAAATGGAGATGAAGGATTCAAGGGAGACGAACTCTGATACGAAGCTATGAACGTTTAGGTAGTCTCATTTTCTCTACAAAAATGAATTTGATTTATTAAGGTCTGAGGTTTTGTATGTGGTCCCTTCTAGTACTTATTGATTTCTACAACTTACAACTTTTTTTGCCAAAAATGGATATTTTTTATGTTGATTTTCATCATGGGGGACAATTTGATGATATAGGTAGATATATAGGAGGGATAGTGTCAAACTGGAAGTGTGGTGGTGACATATGAAGTTATTTTGAAATTTTGGATGTTGTTAAATAAATGGGTATTCGGGGGTAGTTGAAATGTGATATGATTTTGCTGGGTATTTTAAAGGAACTAATTAATGACTTTAGTGCAATAGAACAGATAAACTGGTCCAAGACTTATGGCAAAGTAGACGTATACATAGTCCACCATATTTCCCAACCTGATGTAGTTGATGTCCAACCTTTATTAACTTATGTCAAACCCACTGTAGTAGATTACATACTCGAAACTGACATACCTGATGTAGTCGATGAGATACTTGAAACTAACATACCTGATGTAGTATATGAGATACCATAAACTGACATACTTGAAGCTAAACAGCAGACTGATATATATGAACCTGACATACTTGAGAGCCAACATGACATACCTGAAACTGACATAGTTGAGGACCAACATGACATACATGAAATTGACATAGCTGAGGGCTAAAATGACATACCTGAAATTGACACCATGAGTGAGATACCTGACATTGACTCACAACCTAAGCTATATGAACAAAATGCAAAAATTGTTAAGGGTGACCATAATGACAAAGTGATGATAGTGCTTTGGGGTAGAGGTTTGGTGACTCTAATGTTGAGGTATTAAATGATGGAATTGATGAGGTTTTGGTAGGATTAGGAGGATTTGTAGTTGGGTAGAATGACCAAGAGGTGGATGAAATAAATGTGGGTGATTCAAGTAAAGGAAAACAAGTAAGTGTGGTAAACCAAAGAAAAAAAAAAGGCCAAGGGAAGTTCCAACAAGAAAAAGGGAATACCTTTCAAACAAAGGCTGGAAGAAGCCATGTCTATTGAAAATAAACCATATAGTGATGAAGATACAATTGATTTTAGGTTTGTTGAAAAGATTTAAGGAAAAGTGATCGATATGGGTCTGTTAGATTCAGATTATATATTTGAAGAGTTGGAGACTGATGAAGATTTAAATAGTGACTACTTAGATGAAGGAGATAATAAAAAATATTCATCATTTGTGATGCCTGAGAAGTTTGTGGATTATAAGTAGGTTTTGAATACCATGTTCTCAATAAAGGATGAGTTTAAAGAAGTAATAGCAAACTATGTTGTTAATAATGATAGAGATTTACACTTTATAAAGAATGATAAGACAATGGTTAGAATGGGATGCAAGGAAGGGTGTGAATGGGTTGTATTATGTTCCAAATTGCCAAATGAGGATACATCACAAATGATAAAACTGATTGACACTCACTCATGCAATAAGGAGTTTAATGTAAGGATTTTTAATACTAAATGGCTTGGGAAAAAGTTGTACTCAACTGTTAGAGTTAATCCATATGCGAAACTCACTACAATATGTGAGAAATTTCATGAGAAATATAATACTGGTATGAGTAGGATGAAGGCTTATAGGGCTAGGAAGGTAGCCCTTAATTATGTATGGGAGTCATTCAAGGAACAATATTTGAGGTTGTATGACTACACACATGAGTTGTTGAGATCAAATCCAAACAACATAATTAAGTTGAAAGTGCAACCAACTGAACCACAAAGTGAGGAAATTGAGCAATAACATGAGAACTATGTCAACAAACCATTATTGCCAAGTTTTCAGCGACTATATATTTGCCTTGATGCTTCCAAGAATTAAAAATGTTTTGGAAAGACAAATTGAAATATCAAGGTTTTATATGGCTAGGTAATTCAAACAATTATTTTAGTTATTGAAATCTCATAATAATGCACTTATTCATCTCATAATACTTACTAATTCAATGCACTTTTGTGTTAACAAGGCTTGCTGGTGAGGTGATTTATGAAGTAAGGCACGTCAATATGACTCGAGACAAATTCACTGTTGACCTCAAGCAGAAGGAATGCTCTTGTAGGAGTTACATGCTCACTGACACTCCATGCTACCATGCAATTGCATGCATCCAAAGTAGAGCCGAAGACCTTACAAATTACATTCCTACCATGTATAGGAAGAAAACTTACCAGGCTTGCTACAGACCTATCATCTACTCAACCAATGGTGACGACTTATGGGAAGAGACCCCATACCTCAACATACTCCCACCACCATCAAGAATAACACTAGGGAAACCTAAAAGAAAAAGGAACAAATATGATGATGAGAAGACAAAAGATACAACAACTATTAGTAGGAAATGGTTTCCAAATAAATGCTCAGTGTGTGGTAAATCTGGCCACAACAAAGCCTCCTATCCAATTGCACCAAAACCAACTACACCATCCAAACCTGCAACATCCAAACCTGTACCATCCCAACCTACACCATCTCAAACACAACAAACCATAAAACTTCAAACTATACTATCACCAAGGAGAACCCAACACACAATTTCACAATCCCAACTATAACCTACCATAAGACTTCAAACTAGGCTATCACCAAGAAGATTATAAACCCAATCAACACAAACCCAAACGCAACCAACAACAAGACTTCAAATAAATAAGGACCACAACACTACATTCCAAACAAGAGTATTACCAAGAATAGGGACTGCACCATTTCAACCACCACCAACAACTTTTCAGCCACCAAGAAGGACAATGCCTAAGTTGCCTATAAAGACAAAATAACATTTAGAATGTTTATTGTTATATTTTGTTGAACTGTGATCATGTAGGTGTTTTTGTTTTTTTGATAGTAGGTGATTGACTTAGAACTATGTAATTTGAATCATCACTTTATGTTTTGGATGTTCACTATGTATTTTGGATGTATATTTGATGTATTTTGGTTACTTAGTGAAAGATATTAAGGAATTATCACTATTATGGTTAACAGGCCTTTTAGGTTTAGTCAATGATGTCTACAATGGTTCTTAAAATATAACGAATATGGACACAAACTGTGTCCTTACTAAGTTGTTAAACACAGGTTAATATAGTCTCTTAAAGTGTAATAAATATGTCCTTTAACTATTCTTTAGTGTAACAAATATGTTTTTTATCTCTTCTTTAGTGTAACAAATATGCCCTTTAACTCTTCTTTAGTGCAACAAATATGGGCATAAAATTTGACAGACAAATTGGGCACAAAATAACCATCACATTACAGAAATTCATTACAACAACACATTAACATATTGTCTTACAACACTAATATCAACATAAAACCATAATCACTACTTATGGATCAATATACACTTCAACATTAAAATAATCACAACTAAAAATATTATGACAAAAACTAGCACCTTCAACATCTTCAACATGTTCTTCATCATCTCTTTTGTGTAGTACTCATCTTCATGGATCTTCATCTTTTTTCAACATGTTGATTTATGCATCCTTTTCATCGTATTTTAAACATATCCTTTGAGTGTTGATTTCTGTTTTTCCTTCACCATTGAACTCTTTTTCAACCCACTCAAAAAAGTTACAGCCACAGTTTGAACCTTCACTCTGTTAACATCTAACAGTTAGAATTATCCAAATAAAACATAGCAGACAATAACAATAAACTTACCATAGTTTCTGCAGCCCCAAAAAAGCTTCCCAAAATGTCTCCCTTTCTTCCTCATTGTTCGTATTGCTACATTTGCTCCACAAGCACACCTTAGTTTGATTTGACCATAGCGTGCACTCGATATTAAGGAATTACAGTTAAGACTACGTGAATTCGACAAACCTGTACCGTATGAAGCCATTGTTGGAGAAAGTAGAAGAAGAACTCGGTTGGGTACTGATGCATATATTATAAGGATTTGATGAAGAAGAAAGAGATTTTTCCCAATTATTTCAAGTAACGTTCAAATATATGTCATCTCAACAACATTTAATCCACAAAGGCACCGTTAATGACAACTCTGCATTTTTGAAACGAAATATTTAAAAAAGATCAACGATGTAGACGTTATGTAACTTAAAGGATTTACTTGTAGCGAAAAAATGTAAAAGACCAACCTATTACAATTAAATATTCTAAAGGGCATCTGGAGTAATTTTGTCAAAAATTAAGTGGATGATGTGGCAAAAGTACATTGATCTTTATTTTTTTTCTTTCTTTTCTTTTCTTCTAGTTTTCTTCTTTACAATTCTATTTTTCTTCTCTTTCTAGTTATTAAATTTTGAACATAATATCTAGCAAATCTTAAATATTTCATTCAACATATGCCTAATGCAAAAAAAAAATTTTGAAACATATGTTTAATTGAAAATTGTTTTGATAAATTGGGAAATTTATCATGTGAGAAACATAGAATTGTTGTTAATTTTATGAAAGGATGTCCATTTCATATGAGAGTGAGTAAATTTAGCAATAAGAGTTATTATCAAATTAGTTTAGAGGTTATTAATATGTGTCATAGGACTGCTAGAAATAGGCAAGCAAATGTCAAATTGAAGGCGAAAAACTTTGTTAGTCTTTTAAGGCACACACCAAACATAAAACTTGAGGCATTCCAAGATAAAACTAAAACTAGATAGGGAGTGATGCTCAACATACATCAGGAATATAGAGTAAAAATATGGGCATTAGAGACAATTGAGGGATATTTCATATATTGATACACACATTTGAAGAGTTTTGGATAAAAACTATTAAGGAGTAATCCAGGAAGCACAGTTGTAATCAAGAATGAACTTGGTGTGGATGGTCTTGTGTTTTTTAGGATGTATGTCATCTTCAAGGCTTGGAAGTGCACATTTTTTTACTAGTTGTAGATTCTTAATTAAGTTAGATGGTTGTTTTTTAAAGGGAAGGTGTGGAGGTAAATTACTACTAGTTGTTGGTAAAGATAATAATAATCAAACGTGTCTTATTACTTTTGTTATTGTTGAAGCTAAAAAAAATAATTTAAGGGCTTCATTTGTAGAATTACTTTTCAAAGACATGAACAACATCCAATATAAAAGATGGTCTTTTATATCAGACTAACAAAAGGTAGTTGTTCATGATTTATTGTTTATTATGTTTGAAAATTTTGAAATGTTTAATGTTTTTAATATGTTTATCAAGGATTGATTGATACTTTGAAGGAAGTTGATCAAAATGTTGAGAATAGGTTATGTATTAAACATATTTATGGCAATTGGACACTACGTCATATAATACAAAAGAAAGCGTTTTTTGGCCTTTAGCACCGCTACATAAAGTGGCGCTATTGTAGGTAAAGACAACGGTTTTTTTTAATGCAAAAGCGTTGCCTTAGGTCCCCTTTAGGAAGCGGTTCTGTTTAAAAGCGCTTTCTAATGTCACCTTTAGGCAACACTTTTTCATGAAAAGCGCTTTCTTTTGTCCCCCTTTAGGCAGCGCTTTTTAAAGCGCTATCTAATGTTTCTTTTCTTTCTATTTTAGGCAGCACTTTTTCATGAAAAGTGATTTCTTTTGTCACCCTTTAGGCAGCGCTTTTTAAAACACTGTCTAACATATCTTTTCTTTCTATTTTAGGCAGTGCTTTCTTTAAAAGCGCTTTCATTTATCCACTTTAGGCAGCGCATTTTTTTTACAAAGCGCTTTCTTTTCTCCACGTAATTAGCGCTTTTTAAAAGCACTTTTTTATGAAACTTTTTTTTTTGTTATAAGCGCTGTCTATTGTGCACTTTTTTATGAAGCGTTTTTTGTTAAAAGCGTTGGCATAAGTCTTTTTTTAATTATAAAATGGCAGCGTAAACCATTATAATTCAAATTTTTATCAAAACTTATCACAAACCTTTATAATTCAACCCTAACCTTTATTTCAACACATAGGCCTTATAAACCATTATAATTCAACATATATATAACATTATAATTCAACACATAAACCTTATAACCATTATAATTCAACACAAACCTCATACACAAAGAAAACATCCATAGTTCTAATAACAGTAGATCCACTTCCAAAACCTTTAACTTCTAAAGATTCACCAAACATAATTAAAAATTCCATCATTCCTTAATTCACAGCAACTTCCAGAACTATACAACAACTACCAAACCTATACAACAACTTTCAGAACTATTCCTATACAGTATAGAACATCACAACAACAAAAATCTCTAAGGACTATAAACTTCACACAAAAGAAAGAAAGACAATATACCTTATATAATTTTCATCTCAAGAATGTATTGACACCATTCCTCCTTAATTTCTTCCAGTTTATCTTTCGAGTAAGTAGAACACTTGAATTCATCAAAGTACTACATAATATAATATAATATGCATGATTTAGTTAAAACTAATTAATTAGATGAAATATCCGTTAAATATTAAAATAAATCCTAACTTATAAATCCATACCACGTTTGGAATCTCTATTTGATCCAAATTAATAGTTTCTTTCATAAAGCTCAATACAAAATAACCGCAATCTATACCATTATGCAGACGAGGACACTACACATAGAAAAAATATGAATATATGTATATATCATGATATATAGTTTAACCTGTTTTATCAAATAACATCACTACTATAATCAAAATTGTGAAAATATACCTACACTCTGATCCATGTAATGTTGTTTGCTTTACTCTTTGATACTCGAGTTTGTCTTTGTGATCAGAATATTTGTATAGCTCTAACATAATATAAACGAGTCAAATTCACTAAGTTAGTATTTGACGGTGTACCAAATATAACAGGACAAATTTAGTATATAATAGGACAAACAAGATATATCGGAGAAACAAGTCAAAGTCTTAAAAACCAAATTTAGTAAACATCAACACTTCCTTCAATTAAGCAACATGACATCGACGCACAAATTCAATCACATTAATTCATGTCGCATGATATACTTTGATTCATCACAAATGACACATCAACACTTAATGTTTCAACTCAAGTAAGTCACAAAAAATAACTTCATCACTTAAGTTCAATCAACTTCAAAGTTCTATCCAACAAAGAATCATCAATTCGAGCATAAATCAATCACCAAAATTATCAATTCCACATATAAACTTAATTGCAACTTCAACCTCAACAATTACTAATTAATTTCATCACTATTCATCATCTTCAAACTCAATAATTAACAATTAATTTCATTATCATTTTCAATGAACAATTAGATCAAAACAAAGTAATCACTAACAATTATCCATCAATAGTGTCATTATCATCAGTTAATTTCAACAATTCATTACTAACAAAATTAACACCAATTCTCAAAATAAATTCACCATAAATATCACTATTCATCATCTTCAACCTTACTACAACAACAATTTCAAAATCAAATTCAAACAACAACAACATCAACACTATCAATGTCTCATTTCAATTGTTTCAACAACAAACAAACTCATCAATTAATTCCAACAATTAATATAATTAGTTTCACATCTTCAACACTAATTCACCAACAATGTCATTCAACCTTCAATTGAATTCAAATAACAACAACATCACAATAT